CCCGGCAAGAAACTGAAACACTCAATTCTTCTCCACAATTCCTGCATATAAAATTGCATCATCTGGATCCTTCCAAGAGTGGAAGGAATCATAATATGACATCTCCTCCCAAATAGCACGAAGCTTGGCGATGTAACCTGCAACTGTCAAGTCACCCTGAGAAATCCTAGTGATATCTCGCCCCAGCTGGAAAATTCGTGCATTATTCTGCCTCTGAGAATAAGTGCGTTGAACTGAATAATCTGCTTAGCAGTCTTCATAAACATATAGCCAACAGCTATGTTTGGTTGCATCGAATTGACTAGCCAAGACATAACCATAGCATTATCTGCAAACCACTGTGGATATGCCTTCTTTGACTCAGCTGGCTCTTTCTCAAAACCAGTAATATAGCCAATCTTGCCTTTGCCACCAATGAACATCTTGGCAGACTGTGCCCAAATCAAATAGTTGGAACCATCCAACTTCACTGTGGTGATTTGAAGTCCTGGATTTTCTGATGAGTTGGTGGGAAAAATGGCACCACCACCCACAGAATGTGAGCCAAGAGAATTAACAGTCGAGGACCCTGAATCTGCCATAATCTGTCACACGACAATAAAAAGAACTCCAAAAACACCACAAATTCTGTTAATAAATTAACGGGTCTCCTCAGACCATAAACAATGTCTCCTCAGACCATTCCCGAAAAATCCAAATACATACCTTTTTTAAGGAGCGCTGCCTGCTTACATATAGCCAGACAGCCTCCTTCTTAATATTCGGAACCGCTTTGTAAACTAATTTTTTTTTTTACCCAAGCCCTTCTAGGTGTTGAAAACCAACTATCACAATTTACCCAACCCTAGAAGAGTGAAAAAGAAATTGTAAAACTTAAAAATACCTGTTTTCGATCACAAAACAGCAACACAGAAAAACATGTGTAGGCAACGTCACACGATATCACAAACAGCCTAAGGTAGCTGTCGCACAAGTAGCAAGGCTGCTGAAAGGTGTGGAAAGGTGTTGGCTCTAATACCAAGTAAAAATATATAAAAAGAAGAGAAAAGAGAGAATTGCGTAAAGGCTTGAATAAGATGAATTACCCATTCACAGCTCTAGTATTTATAGATAAAATGAACACATGCTCATATTACAAGAAAGGAAACTAAATCAAATCAAAATCAAATCACAACTTATTCTAAAGCATATTCTATGGCATATTCTATAGCATAGTCAAATCTCTGCTATTATGGTAAGTCATACCATAAATCGTGGTGTCATATATATGTTATTATATGCATAGTCAAATCTCTGCTATTATGGTAAGTTATACCATAAATCGTGATATCATAAATGCTAACAAGTTTTGATCATTTGGAGGAATTGAGTAAACAAGGGAAAAACTTTAGATTTCTTTTTTAAGTAAATATACCCATGTGATATAATAACGATGCCCCAAAAAAGCCGTAACAGGAGAAGGACCCCCACACATCAGAATGTACGAAATCAAACATATTAGGTGTACGATGTATATGAGAAATATAACTGGTTCTGGTATGTTTAGAAAGCTCACAAATCTCACATCGAAACTTATTATCCTTACAAGTCGTTATCAATGAAGGGAAAAGCAAACATAAATACTGAAAGTTTACATGCCCAAGGCAAGCATGCCATAAATTTAAAGTTTGAAAAGAAAAATCTTAAGACCTAGAAACTGGAAGAACAGAGGCTTGAAGCAAGTGGAGGAGGTGTTGGTGGAGGATACCTAAAGTAGTAGAGACCATCGTGCTAATATCCCCTGCCAAAAATCCTCTTCGAACACAGATCCGTAAAACACAGCAATGAGGAAAGAAAATCGCTGCACAGTTTAGTGATTTGGCAAGTTTGCTAATAGATAGAAGATTAGATGCAAAGTTAGGAACATGAAGAACAGATGGCAAAATAATATCAGGGGATAGATGAACATCTCTTTTACTACGAATAATGGTGGTTGACCCATCGACTAAAATAACAGCCTGAATAATAGGGGTAACGAGAGTAGAAAATAATGACAACTCACCAGTGATGTGATCATTGGCTCTAAAATCTAGAACCCAAGTAGGTTTTCCCTTTTTAACAAGAAAAACAAGAGTACCTGTAGCTATAGTAGTCGTGGGAATAGAAGAGCCAACCCTGGTAGATAAAGCTCCAAACTGCTCCTGAAGCTGACCAATTTGGGACTGTAACTGATTGAAGTCCTGAAAAGATGGTCTGGGAGGAGTTGAAGCAGGAGGGACAACAATCTGTGGAGTAGTATACCCACCAATAGTATCGGCTACTGCAACAGTTCGGCCACGACCAGAAGGACGATTGTGAGAAAATTTCTACTTTAACTCGAGATAAAGCTTAAATCAACGATCCTTTACATGACCCATGGCTCCACAATGTTGACAAATAAATAACCTTTCCCTCTGAAAGTCTAAAATTAGCAGCAAGAGTCATTTGATCAACTGGAGTCTCTGGGAAAGCTACTTGTTGAGAGATCTGACGTCTATGCTCCTCATGGTCAACAGTAGCGAAGGCAATATATAAATCAGGCATAGGAGAGGTGTTTATGATATGAATTCTAAGAGCATCATACTCAGATCGTAAACCCATCAAAAACTGGTAGGGATGCTGGCAGTCCAGTCTCTTGACCAAAAGAGTTGCAGCTACTTCAGAGAAATTGGAGAGAGGTTCATACTGTGTTAATTCTTCCCACCTAGACTGGAGGTACCCAAAATACTCTGATACTGACAACTTGAGTGTCTCCTAAGATGCATGAGCAATCTCCTGACAGAGTTCAAAGATACGAGCATCATTACGGGAATGGGCATACATCTTGTTAAGGGCTTGCCACAGACAAAAAACGGAAGTGTGAAACATGAACATATTATAGATACGCTCCTCCATTGAGTTGAAGATCCAACCCAGAATGGTGCACCTGTCCATGTCCCATGTAATATTTTTGGTATCCGTCTTTTCCGATTCCTTGACTAGACCCAAAAGCCAACCAGTTTTCCCTTTCCCTCCAATATAGAGTTGAAGAGAACGGGACAAAGATACGAAGTTGCGCCCATTAAAAAACACACTAGTAACCCGTTGTGCCGGAGTATGATGTGCCGAAGATAAAGTATGCTGAACCGAGGAAAGTGTTATTTTGGCTACATTCAAAAAAACAAAAAAAAAAGGAGTCAAAAACCCGAGGGGTCCGGTGCAAAGGCTAGGAGGAGATGGGGGTGCGCCGGAGGTGAGGGAAAATGGAGAAAGGGAGAGAGAAGGTGGCGGCGTTGGAGAGGAAGATGGGGAGGCGAAAGTTTTTGTTTTGCTCTGATACCAAAAAGAAGTTGTTTTGGGTTTTGGCTTACTCAAACCGAGAGCCAAGAGCTATATTTATATACAAGAATAGGGTACAAAGAAAGGAAACCAAATCAAAGAAACAGGAAATATGCCAAAATCTACGTGATCCCATGATTATGAGGATCTTATTTACTTGATCCCATGATTACAAGGATCTTATCTACGTGATTTCATAATAATAGAAATTTTACATAAAGCACCTAATAAAAGGCTGAAAATAGCTAATAAAAATAAAAATAATAATAATACAGATATTTCAACATAACCAAATTGTTCCACAAAGTTTCTCGTGCAATGCAAACCATTTATAACGGGTCGGGTGATTCACGATCCAACCCAAAAGCTTAAGCTATTAAGTGGTGCTAACACCAAACCCATATATTTACCCAATTACTTCCCCATCCGGATCCAATAAGGAAAAGCTCCCCTCATAACATTATCCCCCACCCCAACTCACAATGCCCTCGTTGTGGTCGGGCCACCCTGCCTTATCAGTTGGATTTTATAAAATAGACAAACCTAAAGAACCAAATTGTTCCACAAAGTTTCTTGTGCACTGCAGACCATTTATAACGGGTCAGGTGCTTCACGATCCAACCCAAAAGCACGTTTAGGTAGTGCTAATACCCAACCCATATATTTACCCAATCACTTCCCCATCCAAATCCGATAAATACAAGACTCCCCTTGTAACATTATCCCCCACCCGAACTCACAACGCCCTCGTTGTGGTCGGGCCACCCTTCCTACCCTGGTGTGCGCACCCGGACACCTCAAGGCCGGGCGCTTGACATGACACCGGATCAAGGACTAGTTTGACTTTAATACCAACTATAAAGGGGTGGGTGCTTCCCGATCCGACCCAAAAACTTTAAGCTATTAGGTGGTGCTAACACCCCGCCCATATATATCCAGTTACTTCCCCCCCATCCGGATCTAATATGGGATAAGACTCTCCTTGTAACATCATTCCAGTTGAATATGCGGTAAGACAATAAGAACCAAAAAGAAAATGGGGTGAGGAAAGATTTAATGGATAACCTTGTGGCAAACAAGATTTGTATGGTGAAATTTAAACAACAGCTGATTGTAGCACATGAACAATGTGTCCAATTTCACATCCATCTCATGTTTAACATCAAAGCTGGCAATTATATTACCAATTTCCTAATTAATTTGAAATTTTTATGACAAAGTACCATATACTTACCGACAAGAGAGTGAGACTGACATACCCGAGAGAGATAATGCAAGAGTAACTCCCTATATATCCCTATATAAAAGTTGTGGAATTAATATATCACTGTCTTAAAACAGTTTTATAATATATTGTTGAACCAAAGCTGACATTACCATGACACGTTACCCGGTTCAATATAGCAAACAATTTTGTGCCTACACCGCAGACTTACTCATAATGTATCTCACACAAAACCCTTTCACTCAAGTTAATGAACAAATTGTAACAGATGTCATAGCACTATCAAAGTAATTAAGAGTTCATTTTGAAAAAGAAAATCCTACTTATATTGAACTAGCACTATTAAAGTCGTTAAGAGTTCATTTTAAAAAAGAAAATCCGACTTGTATTGAAGAGTTAATGAGGAAAAGTCTCCATGTTTCCCAATGACACAACTCACTTATATGCAAGCTCCTTGAAGCCTTCATTCCAACCCTGAAGATGCTGATCTAGGAGAGCACGTGTCAAAGCGTTTATCTGAAACACATCTGGGGATCCTAAAATCAACTCTAAGATCACAACACCAACGCTCCACATATCATACCTATCAGATAAAACAAGTAATGGCACAAAATCAGTCCATCAATAAAATGGTAGTCTACAAAAATAACAAACGAAGATGAATCATTTTCTGTTAAACATGAAGATGCACGCTATGCGTTTCAGGTTTATAGAAGAAAAAAAAACGCTAAACATCAATAATGATTAAATGGAACTCAACGTACTTCAAAACTGTGCTTGCTGGGCCCTGATACCAACTAGCATTTAGGAAAGCTTCTGGAGGAGTATACTCATCAGTTTGTTCAGCTCTGAGAAACACACATATAGACAGAAATGAAAACATGAAGTTACACAGCTAATAATAATAATTATTATGAACATTCCACTTCTTGTGCTAATATATCTTGGTGGACAAAATAGTGAACCACCTCCTCATATTTGATTTTAATTTTTAAGTGTTCAAAAATTGCCTAAAAGCCATAAAGTATAGCACCCAAGTAAAGACCCATCCCCTTGTGGCTGTAGGAAGATGATGGTAGTTTCACATATAAAACGAACATGGATCACAGCTACAGAAGGATGGAGATTTAGGGCAAGCAACAAGAAAAATAATATTAACTCCCTTGTCACTGAAATTCTTCAACTAAAACAAGGGAATGCCACAAAATATGTTGCTAAACCATAAAAAGTCTTCAAAGAGCATTGCTTTTGTGTAGAAGTGTGTTTTCAAACAATTAAAGAGTCTATGGCTGTTCACAGAAAGAAAGAAAGGGAAAATAAATAAATAAAGAAGAAGAAGAAGAAGAAGAAGCAACTAGACTTATTTAAGAGAATCTACAGAGAGAAAACTTCCATCCATATGTTTAGATTTGTGGTCTTACAAACGATAGATGTAGGGTTTCCTTAAGAGTGCAAGCTTGATAAAAGTTTTTTTTTTTATTTGAAAGAATAGGTAACAGCTTACTTGTGATCATGATCTAAGGTAGAAAACCACTCAAAGGAATGAACTCTGCTTAATTGATAATAATTGAAACTTATCCAGCAATTTATGCCCATTTAGTACGGCAGTGCTTAGCTATTTCTAGTTTTGAAGTAACTTTGATCTTTAAAGGGAATGATCTTTGAGGTAACAGAGCACAGAGGTTAAACTTGTCTATGGATAAACATAAATACAGGAAGAGGGAAAGTCTCCGTGGAGAAATGACATACCTAGAAGGTCCAACTGACCCATATAAATGCTTCATCGTGAAGTCATCCATTGCGCTGCCAAAGTCAATAATGCGCCTACAATTGACCACAAAAGCATACATAACCATTATATAAACAGGAAAAACTACAAAAACGCCCTGATCTAGTTAAAAGTCATTCACAATACAAGTATGACATGAAATCAATTTCTAATAGTGCAAATTCAATAAGTTAATCAATTGCTTAGTGCAGTAGTAAAACCAGAGCAGTTTCTGCCCTTCAGGACAGCCACTTAGTTTAAACAATGCCAAAGGTCAAGCATGTATCAGTGTGCCCCTCCTAAAACCACCCTCAATAATAAGGACCAGCACTTGGAAATAGCGTTAGAATAACTAAACAAAATAATGCATATTATCCTCATTGGAACAGCTACAAACTTTATACAAGGTCAATGTTGAAAGGATAAAGAAAAGAGAACACAGTGCAGACACATCATGTTGAATTAGGCAACCAAAGCAAAACTCGATATTGTTGAGCAAAAAAAAAATGTTTACTACAAAACATCATAGCATGTCATTAGTTGAACCATAGACCCAACAGAAAATACCGAGTTCAGCATATACTATTGGTGACTAATTGAACTTTAAAACTTGTGAAGGTTGTTGCTCGTCTTATATCACCAGGCAAAAGTCTAGAGAAAACTAAAGGTGGAAGGAAAGGTGAAACCCCCACCGCTCCTCAGCGGAAGGGAAAGAGGAGAAAAGAAATCTCAAAGTGCACCACATCTCTCTCAAATGGGAGTGTTATCCACTTATATGCTGGGTATACCAAATATATATCTATATCAAGAAAAAGACTTACATTTACAGGTTAGAGAACCTTATCTAAATAAACCTTAGGTGCGAACATGATAAGCTTAATCTAACCACCACAAGAGTCCTATAAAGATTTGGTAGTTGCCTTAATCATCACCCAAAAAACTCACTCACTAGGAAACTAAAATAATTAACATACTGTAATAAAATCTCTGTGGCAGTATAGGAGAATCCATGTGAACCATATTACCAAGTTAAGAATCTCACCCTATCTGATTACACCTTTCAGTTTCCATATCAAAACCTATCCCCACGCATAGAAGCATACATCTCTAGACATCCAACATGTGATAATGCATTCCTGAAAAGGAAGGCCCATAACAATCAAGATGGGTCAACACTACAACCCGAGTCAACCAACCTAGCAGGTTTGGATTGGTTTCTGAAGTTCATCAGTCCAGTTAGGTTCACAAGTACTAACTAGTAATAACCAATTTTATTCATTTCACTTCCAAATTAGAAGGTCAATAAATTAATTTAATCAGGAACAGTATTTAAAAAATCAAAGCTTGGTCCCTGCTGTTACATAAAGAAGAGAGGAATGAAGCCCACATCAACTGACAGAGCAAAAAAATATACACTCACAATCCCCTACATCCCACTCAATCCCTCATCTGAAGGTCATAGAACTGTTTGAATGGACCCTTTTGGGCATGCCAAGTCCACTACATGTTAAAACCAGAATATATCCGTGCTTCTGGCTTATACTAAACCAACACAGTTTATCTTCTTGATTTGGTTTGTTTCAGTTTTAAGGCCTTCAGTTCAGTTTTGGATAAATACTTCGGTTTGTTAAGGATTTGTGATGAACTCAAGCAACCTAGAAAGGTGCGCCCCTACTACTTTGTGATACTGATCTCAGTGCAAATTAGGTACTTAAACCAAACAAGTTTCTCAGTACAAACACAAGAATGCCTCAAGCCAAAAAAACATAGAAAAATCCATTTAGCAATAAACAGGATGAAGCTGACAACATTTGGAAACATAATCCTACAAAGAAGAAAAGTGAAAGTTAAACACCATAACAGTGAAAAGAAAAGGTTAAAGTACATTTTGGTGCTATATTTCTTGTCTCCAGTTGGGCTTCCTTTCAAGCATCTCCCAGAGTCCTGATCTTCAAAACAAATGACCATGTTCTCTTCCAAGAAGAAATATAAAGAAATACTTAGTTAGCAACTCAACATATTCCTGAAATAATGGCAATTTCCACTGGGTCATTTAAAAACAAAATTGAAAGAAAATAAGAAAAGGGGAAACAAAAAAAAGGAAGGAAAGAAGAAGAAGAGAGCTCCAGAGATTACAGAGTACAAAGCACATATCCCTAAAAAGTGAAAAGGAACAATGCATAAAGAGGTCTATGATTGCTCACTAACAAAAGATGCATTTATGACATGAGAAAGACAAACTGAGTCACAAATGGTTTCTACATAAATTCAAAAAAATATTGTAAAGGGCAATAAAATACTTATAAATTTATTCTCTGAAGTGTTACTCAACAAAACAAAAATAATCTGAGCTTGGATCGACCAAGGACGTCATAATATCTTCCAACGACAATAATGTTGTTTCTGATTTCATAAAATGATAATTTATAGCATATAAAAGGTAGTAAAGCCCTCACCAGGTTTAATATCCCTGTGGACGATATTGCGGTCATGACATGACTTCAGCGCCATCAACTGAACAAAGTCAAAGGAAGTACATAAGCTTATATTGTTGCAGACATAACTTAAGGAACTAAATAACTCTTTGGTATTTACAAACCCAGATTGAAACTTGTAGTTCTATCAAAAAGCAAAGATATAAGCCCGAAAATCCACAATCTAGGGCTTACAACCGATTAATACTAAAACTCCAATTGTTAGTTATTCTAGAGTTTCAAACTGATAATACACAGAACTCATCATGATGGCTCATGCACTATTTTATCAATTGACATTAAGAAGCGTTTAAGCTTGACGAGAACATGCACTAGGAAAAATTATCCAAAGAAATCAATCCATTCATAAATTAACCATGTTCCACATGTGCAGAGAAATTATACTACACACAATATGAAAGTTGAAAAGTTTTGACAACCGAGTCATCCATCCTCTTATGGGAAGAATCACATGCACAGAAGATGCAACATCAACCCAAGTGAAAGTAAGAAATATATAAGCCACAGATTCAAAATTAGAAAAAATATATATATTAAAGACTCATGGTAGTAGAAAACTCAATCCAAAACAAATATAAATCTTATGCAAGGTCACAACGTAAAGATGGAATGATATCCAAGTTACAAAATTCTAATGATAGTATAAAGATAAATCAGAAAAAGAGTGCAGAATTACCAATTGCCATATAATATTGCGCATTTCCTCCTGTCCTGCTTCAGTTGTCTTCAACCAATGCCACCACTTTGATGGACGCAATATCTGGACACGCTTCACGTGTTCATCATTTACTTCATCGGCATCATTTTCCATTTCTTCTGATGTATACAGAAGCTTTGACAATGACATGCCTTCATGGCGAAATACAAGCCATATTTCATTGGATCGAGACTCAAAAGACTCTACATATCTTGCAATATGATTCAGACCTCCTTCGTACATAGCTCTCTGAAGTCCATTTTTGTTAGGGAAATTATTTTCAAAATTCCAGGTGTTTCCAATCTCATGAACAACTGTATCATTTGTTTTTGACGACAGGTCATAGAAATCTGGTTGTGATTCCTTCAAGAAAGAGTCGGATATTGCAGCTGACAGTGAACCCACTAAAAATGAAGAGGCATTCAAGAAAACCTCCCCAAAATGCTTCTCCCTTAGCCCGCTCAAGTAAACAGTGGTCCCTTTCTCCACCTGTTAACAGTAACTAATCATTTGATGCTACAAGCATTCGAGAACTATTAAAACTGGAAAAGAATGGTTATCAGTCAGCCAAATCTGCTAAAGAAGTAACTAAAAAGGATTGATATACAATAAGCTGAAGGCCACGTCAACTGCTTATGTACCTCTCACGACTACAAGAATATTAAAACAAATCATTCTACAAAACTTGACCTCATATCCAAAAAAATTGATACAAAAACAAATATAGACCCAAAAAAATATATATATGTATGACAAAGAAGCAAAGATCTTATATACCACTTAGTTTTATTACTTTAGTGGACAAGTAACAATAGTAATGGCTTAAGACTTGACCTCATGTCCAAGTAAACTCATACAAAATAAACATAGAAAAAGAAATGTGGCACATAAAGCAAAGATCTTTTATACCACCTAGTGTTTGTTACTTTAGAGGACAAGAAGAATAGTAAGAAGCCAATTACTTCTCTAATATTCAAAACAAAAAAACCAAAACCACTCGAACTAATGAGACTGCAAGGAGTTGTGTTATAACAATTTGTAAGCAGTCATTTAAAGTGCACGGGGGTATATATATAGAGAGAGAGAGGAGAGAAAACTAATGAATCATATACATTGCAATTCATTATCTTTCTCACATGGCCATCTATAATTAGGCCTTGACAAATTTTTCCCTACATGTACTTCAATAAAGATCTTTGTTATCGAGCTATGAGATCATTACTTAATAAAAAAATGAGCATGTGTGACAAACTAGTATGCAAGAGTATTAAAAAGGCTCAATTTGACTTTTCAAATCACACGGAGACACCAAGTATAGTAAGCACAGACTTCAGCACGACATTAAAAAAAAATTAATAATAATAATAATGCGGATATTTGTTCAACACGGAACAATTGAGTTGTGACAGAAAACTCTATACAAGAAAACATGATGTTCCACATAAAAAGTGATGCCAGAAATGCTGCTAGACTAAAGGCTTTTTTTCCCCCCTCTGCTAGACTAAAGTGAATGTGCCATAAAGTAAGCAGACCATTTTTCTCCTTTATCAGTAAAAAGTGTGCTCACTATTGCACACCAGGTACACACCACCTTCTTCACCTTCAAAAGCTACACAAATGACAGAAGATAATGCTACCATTTGAAGACTTAATAGTACATGTATTTAGGCAGAAACAAATAAATATAGCAAAACAGTGTAAGGACAATAATAGCACTCAATTACAAACTTTACAGAAAATGATACATAAGGTTGATAAAACATTGAGAAGATTTAAGCAAAGATAATATCCTTCACATGATAGCAGTAACTTTAACTTTTATTTACCAGGAAAAAAATGAAGAGAGAGAGAGAGAGAGAGAGAGAGAGAGAGAGAGAGAGGGTTCATAAAAGCATGTGATCCTGTGCTACCAAATCAACACTTCAAGAGGTCTGGATGAAGAGATAGATGCACCATATGTGCTGGATAAAATATTTAAGATAGCAAAGGAAAAGGCAGCAGTTAAACAGTAAAGAACTTCAAATTCTCAACCTCTAATGAGAGTAGGAGATTGAACATCTTAATTCTTAACATAAAGTCTTGCTTGGACTACCAGTCTGCTGATTAAGTTTCAAGCAGAATTCTCAACTTCATTAAGACAGGAATGCCGGATGGCATTCAAATCACCCGACCACCTCCGGTTAGGAAGTATGAAGAAACAAATAAATATAGCAGCACAGTGTAAGGACAATAATACTACTCAAACTAGGAAATAATAATAATAATAATAATACTTACAGACTTTACAGAAAATGATACATAAGGTTGATGAAAACAATGAGAAGATTAAGCAAAGATAATATATCCTTCACACAATAGCAGTAACTTTAACTTTTATTTACCAGGAAAAATAAATAAAGAGATGGAGAGAGAGAGAAGGAGAGTTGATGAAGAGGTAGCAGTAACTTTAACTTTTATTTACCAGGAAAAAAAATAAAGAGATGGAGAGAGAGAGAGAGAGAGAGAGTTGATGAAGAGATGGATGCACCATATGTGATGGATAATATACTTAAGATAGCTAACGAAAAGGCAGCAGTTGACCAGTAAAAAACTTCAAATTCTCAACCTCTAATAAGAGTAGAAGATTGAACATCTTAATGCTTAACATAAAGTCCACCAGTCTGCTGATTAAGTTTCGAGCAGAATTCCCAACCTCATTAAGACAGGAATGCCGGATGGCATTCGAATCACCCGACCTTCTCCGGTTAGGAAGTATGAAGAAACTTATTGGTGCAAAAATTGTGTTCCAATTTTAATTAATCCAGTGAAGGTGAGGTTTGAACTAAGGACCTTGTCTACTCTAATGATACCATGTTAACCACCATCTACTCTAAAAGCTTAAACCATTTGAGAGGAAGTAATTTTAATATTTAAATACTACAACATCGTTAGGTGAGAGTCTCACCAAAAAGCAGAAATTCTGAGCGACTTCTTGAATCCAGAATAATAAACTATAAGAAACACTAGCATATTCAACCAACCAATATTAAGCAGGCAAAAACATTGAGGAACAAATCTAGCTCCCTAGTTTCAGAAAATGCCTACATAAGATAATAGCACTCATATTCAGAAGGATGATCCAGTGCCACTTAATTCTCAATAGCAAAAGGCCCAAGCAATCAAAAAGCAGCAGGAACCAACTACTAGAAAACACCTATACCACAAGGAAACAGCAAGCAGAGCTTAAATACTAACATATGGGCCATTGAAGGTGTGTCGATGGAACTATGCTACAAGTTGTGGATTAGCTGGGCTAGTAAGTAAGTCCATTATCTACCAATCCTAAATTTGGAAACAGCAAGCAGAGCTTAAATACTAACATATGGGCCATTGAAGCCTCTTATGGCTTCTTCTCGATAGCACTTCTTGTTATAATAACCAGTAAAACTAACCCAAGACTTGCCCTATTCCTCACAGACCTTTACCATCACGCTGAAATGGTTTCTTCTCTGCACCACTTCAAAAAACTTTCTCTGCATAATCTTGTTGAAGTTGGAATAGTCAACAGTGTCTTAGAAAGGCTCAAAAATAAGTTAACCATAATATTCTTACACTAAAATTGTTTAATATTTCAAAAGGTAGCCTAATTTATATTGCCATACCATTTTGTGTCTCCATATATTATCATGAGCCATGAGACATCCAAATACCCCTGAATATGCAAACTGAGACCCTAAATCGCAGCCCAACTCAAAGAAATGAATTGACATAATGATGCAGGATAGGTGGGAGCACTTCGAAATTGAAATTCAAGGATAATAAGAGAGAATGAGAAAGAAGAGAATAAAGACGAATGAGGGAGAAGGAGGAGGAGGGGGAAGAAATATCTGTAATCACTTGATATTCAATTCAATAATTGTCAAAGGTGTCTTAGCAATGTTATCAACCTACATGTAAATAGGCATCAAGGAAAACCCTAATCAAATCCTACTACCTAAAATAAAACCCTAATATCTTAAGTTACTAAAATATCCCTAAAATTAAAACCTTATTTAAAATAAGTAAATAAACAAAACTCCCTAATTCTATCTGTCATCCCCACACCACCAATAGTAGGTGTGGGTCATGTGCACTTCAAGGTCTCGGGTCATGTCCGGTTCTCCGTCACATAATCTTGACGTATGATACAATATCCACCATTCAGTAAGAGAAGAATACCTCTTTGTAAGCCAAAAACTCGAGAATCTGGGCCCACACCAATCACGTAAAGTTATTATGATCCAAGAAAAGTGACCCTGGTAGTTTTGGATGCTTTTAGTTATTTTAATTTTCAGACATGATTGACAAACCTCCATTATTCTAGGTTTTCACAGCTAAGAAAATTTTCGAGTTAATAAAACCGATCAACAATACAATTCAAGAGACTGCAGCAGTGGACTAATTGGGTTATTTTGTCATTTTACATCCATTTAGGTTTTGCAAAACCCTACTTTTCTTCCCCATTCCTGGAAACCTCTTCTACCAATACCAAGCTACCCTAATATAAATCATAGTAAACCCTAAAACATAATTCTTCATTATAGCACAAAGAGTTTAAACGGTTCTGCATCAACAAGAGACCTAAATTTAAGTTACCACCAATCATCGATTTCAAGGTGCTTTAAATAAACTTATTTTTTCAATATTAGCGAAGAAGTGAGACTGCAGAGGGAGAGAGAGAGAGAGCATAAAAGAATGAGATGAAATACGGCACCATCTTAATTTGATCACAATGGCTTCCCTAAATTCTAACTGGACCAGTGAACCTTCTTAACTTAGAGTCAGATTAATTCAAAAATAAGTTAAATACTTGAGATATCATATATTATGATGAGAGAGAAGGTTTGTACGAACAAAAAGGGGCAAAAGAGAGGAAGTAAACTATAAAGGTTCAATGTAAGTTAATTGAACAAATTACCATTATACGCTTCAAGATGAACAAGTTGTCATCAGGAGGACTAGCATTGCAATCATGAGCAGACGAGTTTGTTTGTGAAGCTCTACCACAAGTGTTGAAATTATTAAATGATTTTTTTTTGTTTTTACCCCAAGTCGAAGCATTGCTGCCTTCAGAGCAGTTCCAATGAAATGCCAGCCAAACTTCACCATATGATCCACGATCAAACCTCTTCTTTAGAATGTACCTAGTAACCGATAATGACAAGTCATATTAGGATATGAAAAAGAAAGCATAAGCTTCATCTATGAAACAAAAAATATATTAAAAGTAAATGCAAACTACAAAAAAGGTCACAAATTCAAAGAACACCAGCTAATGAATAAGTTTAATGCTGAATCGGCTGTCCAGAAAGTCACAAATCACATAAAATTATAAAAGTTATCCCAATACAACTAACTTCATCACTTAACAATATTGAAGCATGAGTGGAGCGACCAGTGAAGTACCCTCAATTCCTCTTGTATATAGTCCATCATTCAAGGCTTTACACAATCCACCCCAATCTAATATAAGCACACCCTTGCATGGTCACAAGCAATATGAGCAAACTCAAACAGCTCAACCAATGAGAAATATCTTGGAAGGTCCAAGGTGCAGACACAGTAATAAAAGGCCCACACTTCGGAGCAATCAATTTGAAGCAAACCAACTAAACCTGCATTTCTTGTGTCTAAGATAGAAAAAAAATCCTTTTTATAATAGATAATGAGAATCAGACCCCTGGCCCACCCCTCACAACAAACATTATAATAGCACCATTACAGCCATGTTATAAAGGCTATTGACAAGGGGTTTTTTTTTCAATAGACTGAAAAGCATATTATTTATAAGTTGATCTTATATTTTTTCATGCAAGACGTTCTTTTGAATGAAATGTCTGAGACAACAAATCAACTTGGATTTTACAACAATTGACCCCCTCAATGCAACCATTACTCCATGGTTTTGAGTCTCTTGAAAAAGATCATGATAGATTCTATAAAATCTCCACGTTATCACAGATTAATAAAATAAGTGGATGCTATAAAAAAATTCACAGGAGATCCATGTTAGTGCCACATGAAGGCATGAACACTACCTTGAAGGAAATTCCATCATTTATAAATTTGGAATGCTTAGTGACGATAAAAGCAACACATTAAAGAAAGGAAACATACCTTGGGTCAGGGGTTGCATGCTCAAATGATCCATAATCTGAACCAATATTATGGATAGGTATTGATTCAAGAAAACCCAAGAAGCTAGCAAAGCCTTCAGGATTTATGCATTGATCTTTACCCTCATTATTAGTCATCCCAAGGTGCAAGCACATGTTCTGGTCATTATAAAAATTTAAATGTCCACCTACATCATAAACACAACAATTAGAAGTGACTCTGTGTTAGTCCATTTGAGTTAACAAATTACAAAATCAATTTAATCTCTCTCTCTCGCGCGCGCGCGAATACACTTAAAATTTCAAAGAAATTCTAAAATTGAGAGTGACATAAAACAATTTTGAAAAGGAAGAAAATAGATTGTGAATATACTGTAGAAGAATCACAGAAGCAACTAACTTACCACAGCATTGATCAAGGGCCTCAGGTAAAGCCTGTGGTATATCATACATATCTTGCTGGTCAAGCTTCTGAACCGAGAATGTGTAATTGACATTTTCATTAAGATTTTCAGATAGATAAAAACAACCAAAGCTGCTCTTTTTTCCTTCAACCTAAAGTAGAATGAAAGCAAACATCATCATCCATGCAACATCCCCTCGACTGCTGGTGCAAACATCAAAATGAAAAGAATAACAAGATAACATTCATCTAAAGAAATCATTATCATTGTCAACTGTAATCATCACCTGGTCGAAGAAGATTAAATTGGATGAATGAAACCAAATAATTCATCCTTAATAGTACAAGATAAATTAAACTCAAAGGATAGTGCCCATTATTGAACTGCTCAAACTACTCATTTTTTGAAGAAATTTAAAATAAGAGTCAAACAGATTTGTGGAAATCAAATGGCATATGTTACTCCAAGTAGTTAGTCTCTGCCAAAGTATCAGTTGAACAGGAGAGGAAAGGAACCTAAAAAAGTGGACATATAATGAAGAGAGGATTCCCATCAATCCTTATGGTACAATAAGTACTGGTTGAAAAATCATCATATCTTGAAAAGTTCGTCGATATTTCATCAAAATCTTAAGTACATGCTTCTTAGATTATTTCCTAATCTTCTGTGAAATATATAGTAAATAGGCTAGCAGATAATATAAATCAAAATCATCATGGATCTATGCAATCCATGCATGAAAGATGTTAAAAAATAAGTAATTTTTTATTACTCATATTTGAATTCTTCATGCAGATGACATTCCAGTGATAACAATAAAGAATTGCTGATGCAACACTGAAAGGAGAGCAAACTGAAAATTATACAGGACAAGATAGTAATAACTCTAGAGCACTTAAATTAGTTTTGGGCAGTTTCAGGATAGTACTTGATATTTGATATCCAGATATTCTACCCAGCTAACATGGTTGCACATAAAATAAAAGTAAGTATCGTGTTAAATATCGCAAGTTTTTGTCTACATTTAGCCATAATGATAAAGAAAGGTAGGTTCAAAAACAGAGGAAACAGCTTCCAAAGAAGATTAGAGGGGGGAAAGGATAAAAAAGATTTAGGGAAAAAAATGAAAAGTAGCAAGAAACCAGGAGACAAAGATGCCCTTTGCAACAAAGAAAAGGCCAAGAAATCTCAGGTGGAATACACAATCCACTAAAATGTGATTGCTGTCTATTTTCTTAAGTAAATGATTAATTATAAATTGAACTTGCCACCCTCACACACCAGGACAACATACATCTCAGAAAACTGCAACATATAAAGCTCCATTTATTACTTCAGTACACAAAATTTATTGTTTTTTAAGTTCTTGCTTTTATCATTTTATATGCATTGCTGTATGACACTGAAATTATTCTGTTGACAAGTTGTGTAGCCAATAAAAATAATAGAAAACCTAGCCAGTAGCATGATTATGACAGCCTTTGGAACAAATTTACAGCTTGTTGGTATCTACGGTAAATCCAACTCGAGTCATTTTCCTTCTTATTCAACAAAAATAACTAGCTAAAAGAAATAAGTCTTCACACATCTCATATCCAATATGGGATTAAAGGACACAGAATGACCAGAGAAGTAATGTCCCTTTCGGTACAGGAAAACATAGACATACAACTTCTTAAGGCATCATGAAAACCACATGATTGGCAAAAAATAAGATTAAGAAGAACTGAAATGCTTGTGTTGCAGCCTTACCAATAACCTGTCAAGTTTTACCATAACTGGATGAGCATGCTCCAATTCTGCAGTGTTAGAAGTGTTGTCAAGACTTAGAAAAATGAAACATATCATATTGGTAAACAACCATCAAGCTGTGCATAGACTTCAAATAAGAACCTGGGGATGTGGGGTAACAATAAGGCAAAGTGAGAAAGTAAATCATGGAATTAAACTTAATACACCTGTGGTATTAATTTGTTATGGAAAATCCTTCAAGTCATGTATATAGCAGCATTTCCACTACTTACAGCTGACAATCATGAGTTAAAAGTTTAGAAACAGTTTTGTATATACAAATAAGTAAAATCTATGTTCATGTATTACAAATGCCTCGAATAGACAAGAACATATCTTCTCTCTTTTTTTCTCTTTTTTTTTTAGTAAGAATTGGGAAACAATATTAGAAGTACTGAGTAGAAAATAGATCCACAAGAACATGGAAGGTTGAGGAATCCTCCCTACAGTGCAGTAACCACGTTGCCCAGAGCCCAGGGGCCAGAATCCCACCCAAAAAAATCATAGCCATGTCTCGCTCTATCAAACTATCTACAGTTTTAGAAGGGCAGCAACTTCTATAACATCTATTCTAAAGAAGAGAAGAAGTAGCACCCCCTACATCATCACAAGAAAACCTCCAATAGCAATTGGACTTGGCTTCCTGAAAGCTATCATAAGAATTGGAATTTAACTCCCCCAACATGAATCAGAATTCTTTGAAGATTGTCAAACTTTTTGCCTTATTAGAACTAAGCATTTTAGACAAACATTTTTGTTCAAGTCCTCCCAAGTTGGTGTTCCCATCTCCATGCACATGTAACAAATAAGACTAATTACTTATAATTTAAAAAATAATTATAAAATAAAAAATAAAAAATAAAAATAAAATAAAATAACTTATAAGACTAATTAAACAGCTAAAGTTACCTGGCTGCTCATAATTAAACTCCTGAAGTCCTAAAGCTGATAAACTAACTTCTCCCCTTCCACCAAACCTTTCCTGTAGCGAGATTTGAGAAGAACCGGTTGATGTAAAAGAAACCACAATAGCTGCCATATTATCCATACTGCCTTTTTCATATGCAGTTTTAACTATGCAATCAGCTAGTGAGTACGAGCATGATGAAACAAGTTCAGATCTCCCATTGCCACGAGAGTGTAATTCCCACAGTAGATCACAAACATCTTGTGAGCTCATCTTTTCAAAAATTCCATCAGATGCGGCCACAACATAGCTGTCATTGACAGTAAGAGGTTGCCAGTCTGTCACCTCAGGTACAGGTATAACACCATAACTGAACCCAGAGAAAAGCTGAATGAGAGTTTCCATACTTTGTTCTTAAAACTTTTTTAGTTTAGGAAAAATGGAAAAAGTATTACCAGTGTAAATAAGGTTTTAGTATAATAAAGAGGCAAAAACAGCAAGTTAGAGTGCCTTCAAAACTAACTTATGTAAGCAACAATGGAATCAATCAGGAGGGAGCAAGTAATACCAAACATGAATTTTTTACTTCCGATTGTGTACCTCACCTTTTGAAGGAAACATCACCAATAGCTCGAGAAACAGCCAACTGTCCATTAACTCGAGATACACCACCCCACTCAAGTACATAACCGCCAGCAGATTCCACTCGGGACCTTTCATCATGTCTATCTGGATGATGATCTCTTGTCAGGTCCTTAGCAGAAAAATGTGCCAACCCATTGGAAGCTGCAAGTCTAAAGCTGTTGTATCCTTTTATGGGTGTAGCACGATTATGTCTTTGCTGCCTGTATAGCCTTAGCAAAGTGGCTGCAATTTGCAAGAGCCATAAAACAGTCAACTTTTTCCTTTTGCTCAATGAAGTGGGCAAAACACACACGCATAATACTGCAATGATAATTATAATCCAAATGCAACAGCATAATACCATTATTAAACAAAAAAAGAAAAAGAACATTGTCCACTAATACAGTCACACCATGGGATGACTGTTGTGAACATGAAAACTAAATACTTAAAGGTAAAAAACTGTTCAGTTTGTAACCAAAATCCTTCTGACCTTTAGCCTCAGAAGGAGATTGAAAATTTTCAGAGCACACAAGTGCCTTTGAGTCTCCAACATTGGCAACTAAAATTTGACCTTCTGCTATTAAAATAACCATGGCTGTAGAACCTGAATCAAGATATTTTCTAGACGCTTCCTTCACAGAAGAAATAAAGGAATGTCAGTGTAAAGCAAAAAGAAGGATGAGCGCACAACAAATTCTCAGACAGACAGATGCATCAGATAAAACCCACCATAGTAAATGTTGTGTCAATATCATGAATTGCCCTCAGCAATGATTTCTTCAAAATTTCTAACCGAAAAGACTCATCAAATGTTCCAGTCCCTGTAAGCTTAAACCTGCAAGTGATTTACTTCAGTCACGGATATACATACCAAAAAGTGCTTAATCAAAATTGACATGACAAACTCCAGGGTCTTTCAATTAAAAGATTGTTCCGAATACCCACCAAAATATAAATTTCATCAAATTGGAAATCCAACCCAGGAGTAATGAAATATAAATGAGTGATATGTTCAAATCCAGAGGAAATAATGCATGATGTACTTAAACTCCATGTATCTCCAAAGGATATAGTATACGATTTGAATCACCAATGAACAATATGAGCAACATTCTGAAGCATTTATAAAAAAAATAATAAAATTAAATTAAATTATGGTTGGCTGCATTCAAATATTTGAACCATGAGATGCTAATTGTAATTCAATGTGATTCCTATAAGACATTCCTCCCATGTTAAAGATTACCACCTTTGAATATGATTATATAACCAACATTGTATTACTAAATCTGGCACAATAATTATAAAATAATTATGTCAAAACCTCAATAAAACTAATTTCTATTCTAACATTTAAAAACACTCGCATCCAAATATGATTATATAATCAACATTCTTCCACAAAATATCACACAATAATTATACAGTAAATATGTCAAAAACTCAATAAAACTAATTGCTATTCTAACACTTAAACACAAGCATGCACTAACATACACAGATTAGGGCAAGAATGCACCTTCCGTGATGCAACGGATGCCGATCCAGTTCTTCATCCCAATTAAGTGCTTGATACAAAAGATCCTGTTCTCTCTTATTTGGCAACCTTCCCACAGAATTCTTCAACAAAATTGAAAATGTTGTATCAAGAAGAAAATATGCATGCAACATAAAATACTCTAGCAGTAGCTTTGAAGCCATCTCACTAGCTTCAGCGCCATTGTGACCATCAAAAACTGCCACAATACCAACAGTAACCTCTGTAATCCCCGAGAGACCTGCTCCATAATGAGATGTCTTTTATTAGAAATTTAGAAGATCGTTTTTATAAAAACGACCACCATTCCTGTAATAATTTCTCAAAAAGCCACAATTCCTTCAATAATTTCTCAAAACAATTATTTTTTGTATATTGTGTATAGACATGATTCATTGATTCAATTTAAGTTTTGTAAGAGAGATAGAAACCCTAAAATGTGTGTGTAATTTTGTCTCGACCCCCTCTTTACCAAGATTCTTGGTTTTTCTTTCAACTGAAATTTTTTTTCAACATATATATATACCCTAAAATGTGTTTACGTTTCAGATGTACGTGCGTTTATCTGAATAATTGAATTACAATTAAGAACTACCAGGGAAGGGAATCCGAACATCAAGAGCGCAAAAAGTACGATCCTCCTGATACTTTCGCCTTCCCTGATGCATCGCCGTCTGACACCGCTCGGTGCGTGGTCGGGAAGCGTAATTTGAGAGTTTCCAGCGAGGGCATTTTGGAGACTGAAAGACGGCCGGAGCACCACCTTCTTTGTACACCGTCAAGCACGTAGACGTTTCTCCGTCTGTACGTGTTATACAAACTAAAACACCTACTACGAACGCAGAGAATTTGTATAGATTCATTTGTGTATCATTTACAACATAAATTGAAATTTCGATGAAACGAAAGAAAGAAAGAAGAAAACAATCGCGCGGTTCTCTGGAATTGGGGGCGTTTCCTCAGTGGCTTTACGCCGAGACATCGAACCAGACCCAACAACTTTCATGTCTGTCGAGCGACTGTCGCTCCACCGTCGTGTAACCGTTGTAAGGTTTCGTTTCCATACAGCGTCAATAATAAGTCGGTGATCAAAGTCGGTTAGCGTGGTAAGGACACGAAAAATTAAGGCTCAGTTTGGTAGAGTGGGTTTGAAGGGAAAGGGAAGGGAAGGTGATGGAGGGTTATAAAAAAATTGTGTTTGGGTAAGGTGAGTGGAGGGAAAGGGAAAGATAGGGAAGGGTTTGGATGGGTTCTTCATAACAATGTACAGTAATTTCTTTAACCTTCCAAAAATGGGAGGATAAGGAAGGAAAGGGAAGGCAATGGCTCATATAATATTTGTCATGCCACTTTTACCCTCAAAATTGCACTTGATATTGAACATGCATTTAGCGCGGGAAGCTTGCGAACAGCGGACAGCGAACTCAAATTGGAACAGCGATGGAAACTGAAAGATGTGGGTTTTGATTTTTTGAGGCGGACGGCGAACCCGAACTGGAACAGCGATGGAAACTAAAAGATGTGGGTTTTGATTTTTTGAGGCGGATGGCGACGGCGAACCCGAACTGGAACAGCGATGGAAACTGAAAGGAAAAAAAAAACACACACTTGATCTTCATTCTAGTAGCTAAAATTGATTCCCAAAACAATTTTTCTTGAAAGGAGCCGCCTCCCATTTTTGGGAGCTTGCTCTACTCATATTGGAGCCTCCTCTACTTAAAGTAGAGCCTCCTCCACTTTTACTTGAGCCGGCTCCTCTTGGGGCAAAAATGTTGTTGCATATTTAAATCTCAAAATTCATCTTTTAAAATATAAAAGGGCATAATAGTAAATTTATTATTATCCTTCCCTTTCTTTTCTTTTCCCAAACATGATTGTTATCCTTTCCTTTCTTTTCCTTCATTAATCAACCAAACACGATTGAAGATTAAACTTATCCTTCCCTTCCCTTCCCTTCCCTTTCCGTTGTAACTAATGTTATCCTCCCCCTTCAAACCCACCCTACCAAACATAGCCTAAAAGAATTAGAATTAAAAATGAAAAAAAAATTAGTCGGTTATCCGATTGTAGCGGAAGTCGGCTAGCGTGAGCATAACGCGAAAATATATATATGGGAAATGCCTTTTTTGACGACAAATATATACTCGACAAAAACTGACTTCTTAGCAATAATCTATTTGCGCATGACACTTTCCTCTCTCGCTCGGCACACAGCCTCTCTCACTCCTCTGGAAAGCCTTCCAATCTCTTTGAGAATGAATAACGATCCAAGGATGAAACACAGTTATAGCGTATTCGGCGGCGGTAGTGAATACTCTGACAATACTCAACTTCGCCGATGGAGTTGGAGAGGACGAAGGGCTCAACACTGCAAATAATTCGATAAAAATGAATTTTTAATTAATTTAGACGAGGTATAATGAAAGAGAGAGAATCCCAACTCAGTCAGATTTGGAAAAAGGAAAGGACGCTGTGGTTTCAATACCTAGCGCCATGGCCGAATATTTCAATGAGATTTTCCAAACTTTAAATTAGACAAATCATTAGCAAAGATGATACGAGGTATGTTTGTTTTTTTTTTGTCATTATCTTTTTTTTCTTAGTTTTTTTCTTTAATTCTTCCTATTCTTCTCTCTATAAGAAGTCCTAATTTCTTCTATTTATTTCTTTTTTTAGTTTCAGTTTCTCTCTCTAAGAAATCCCTTTGTCAGAAATTCCTTTTTGGTTGCCTCTTCTCCCCCTCTACGAAAAATTTCCCCCAATAAATTGAACCTGCTATCCACCAAAAAAATCAAACAATCATCAGCGACTGGTCAATGCCGGCGACTAGTCCATCCTCACTCTCGCCACGAACCAAAGTACGAGTCCACCAAGCACAGCCACTGCCAGAAAAACGATGCCAAATAAGAAGCGCAAGTGAGATCTACTCACAGGAGCGCGTGTCGTTCCCTGCGAATCTCTGAAATTGCTGTTCTTCGTTGTTGCCGTCAACTTGCCTTGGGTCATCGTCGTTGGTTACCCAGTTTTTCCATCTGCCGGATCAGTCCGGTTTGTTTGTAATTTGGTGCCTTGACTTGTATATTTTGATTTAATTGGCGAATCATTTGAACACGTGGCCAGCTATGTAGGTATGTCGGTGTTTTATCGTGTTTTCAAGTCGGGTAAAATAGCATCACTCTATATATATTTAATTTTATCATTTTTCAGTACAATTTTGTTTTTGTAGATAAGGACTTTACGCTATTGGCCATTGATTTTTGGATTCGAGAACTATATTACTCCTAAGTATTAAAACTTAATGTATACTTCCCGGGTCGTTTTGTAACATTTAAGTTAATGTATTTCTCCTTTTTTATACTTATTTCAAAATACACGCATTTTTTTAGAATTAATATTAAGTATTACGTAATATACAATATAAATTAATATTTTAAAAAAATGTGAAAAATAAAGTTAAAATTCATGTTTGGATTGGATTAGATTTGTGTAACGGGTAAGTGCTTCACGCAGGTGGGTTTTTTACGATCCGACCCAAAGTTTAAGTTATCAGGTGGGACTAACACTCAGTTCATATATACCTAATCACTCTTCCATCTAAATTTGATGTGGGACAAACCTCTAACATTCTCCCCACTTGAACCCCATGCAAAGCCTTCGTTGCGGTCAGGTCACCTTGCTTACCCGGGGTCTAGACCCAGACGCACTTCGGGCCAAGCGCTTAGCGTAGCGTGACAATAGATCAAGGACCGAGTCTGATTTTAATGCCAAGTGTAATTGGTGGAAGTTTTGCAATTCGATTCAAAAACCTAAACTATTAGGTAAGACTAACACCCAACCCATATATACATAATCATTCTCACATCCGGATCGAATGTAGGACAAACCTCTAACAAGTATTATGGACCGAGAAAGTATATTCTATAAATATTGGTTTTGGATTAGTCAGTAATAAAATTTAACACTAACATAACATGAATTTAGTGGGTTTTTTTTTTTTTTTTTTTTTTTTTTTTTTTTGTCATAATCACATCACGTGTGTTTGTGGTTCAACCAACTCCTTTAATTAATCATGTCATATATTTATGTCAAGTCAAGTTTAGTATCCTCACAATTGTTCTAATTTTAATTACCATGAACATTTTTATTATTCTACTACGTAATATAAAATCAATATAAATATGAGTAATTTACACAGACCTCCCATATGATTTGCCCTAATTATAGGGACCATCCTTACTATTTTAGAAATTATGCAGACCTCCCCTAATTTTGAAAATATTATATACGGACTTCTCTTCTATTAGAGTCAACGACGAAAATTGATAACGTCAGCTACTATTTTTATTAAAATTCCTAAAATACCTTGTCTATATAATTAGATATTATATTTAAAAGATATATATATATATATATATATATATATATATATATATATATAAAGGGATAATTACACTTACCTCCCCTGGAGTTAGGGGTAATTACAGGCGATACCCTTTACGTTTTAAAAAATTACACCGTCCTCACTCAAGGTTTGCTCCGTCGTAACACTTAGCCCCCTCCGGTGAAAGTCAATACCAGTCAAAGATGATTTCTGATGACATCAACTATTTTTAATCATGTAATACCACATTTGCCCTTGCTATCTTTACAAAGACATTTTAACCCTTACTTTTGTATTAAAATAACCCATATACCTAGAATAAAAAGACAAAAAAGCCCTGTATGATATCTTTATAAGCCCACACTAGCTCCTCTCTCTATATACATATATATACTGGTCACATTTGCCCTTACCCAGAATAAAAATACAAAAATACTAAAGAGAGGGGGGCAAGCCGAGAGTTGAGAGACATTTAAATGTTTGATACCCCTCGGATCCGAGACACGGGTTGATCAGGCCCAGGCCCAAACCCGAGGGATATCAAACAATTAATATGTTATAACGAACACAGAATACAAATTGAATTAAGAAATAAATTTTAAGCTGAAAGAAAACTAAGTATAAATCCTTTAAAATTAAACACTTAAAATCCCAAATAATAATAATCCAACTCCAAAACCTCCAAGGATAGAACCCGGGAATCCATCCTGTGGACCCCTAATAAGAAAACCAAACTGAACTGAAAACTAAAAGAAAACCATAAAAATAGAGCTCCTACGTTGTCGGAAGAATGAGTGGTTGCGTCTGCTCAGCACAAACAAGGTCAAGTCTGGAACTGACGTACACCTGAAAAATAGGAGTGGGTCAGGCCCACGAACAAGGTCAATCCTACTACAATCCAAGTAGAGACTCGATACGCATATACACTCTAACCAACTCAACAATAACTATATAATCCGTGTCTATATATATATATATCCACACTATGGACTCTCACTGGACTATGATACGGGTCTCAACCTGAGTAGAAAGTAACATACAAAACGCACCTGAGTGGGCATGACTACCTAAGCCTAACAGGGTACACCTCAACCAGCATAACCAGTTACGCGTCTTATTACACATACGCTCCCTGACCATTGACTCTGAGACTCAAGCTCAAGTCACGGTACCATAATAATATATTTAAAATCCGTTCACATTCATCCATAAGAAATCCAATAAGTCGTTTAGCTTATTCAACCGCACAGACTTAAGTCGTTTAGCTTATTCAACCGCACAGACTTATACATAAGGAGGATTCTATTTTTGTGATCCATACCCTTATTCCAAAGTAGGTAGGACTTAGCAATTTGAGCTAATCTAAACCTGGTATGTCACCGTCCCATACCGGTACATACAATTCAATACATCCAACAGTTGATAGAATACATAATCAATGTACATAGCAACTGAACCATAACAAGCATAAATAGAGATATAGACTAACATGCTTACTCCAGTAACTGATAGATCAAAATAATAAGACATATTAATTAATTCCTTGATGAACACAAATTAAATAGATAAGCGTCATGTTTATCCCATAACTCCGTTACAAATTATCTTACTTGAGCATGCAGATAATTTATTCCTCTGTCCATAAACCGTGACAAGTCTAATAAAAAAAAATCATATTTATTATCATGCTTGTCCATTATTAATAATATCATATTAATAAAATTTCCACTCACAGAGAATAAATAAATTAAGGTTCAGTAATTTAAAATTCCTCTGTACTGAAATAAACCAACTTCCGCCGAGACTTACCAATGTTCGAGCTATAAATACCTACTAGTTTATTAAG